CCGCATCCCCTCTGGGCACAGCCAGCACCCGCACCGAGGCGGGTGGCAGCCCCGCTCATCGCCCCGACGAGCCGCAACCTGGGGGTCCCCCCCTGCGCCCCCCCGCACCCCACGGACACCCCGGCTCCTTCTCCCGCTCCGGCTGCCCCAGCAACGTGGCATCCTCTCTGCCCGACCGCTACGGGGTGTCCCCCGCCACCTCCTCCTGCTACGGGGTCCCCAAGCATCTCCCGGAGCATCGGACTCACTGCGGCTTCAAGGAAGGGGTCGGGGGGCTGCCGGTGACCGGGCGGCCCCCCCGGGAGGGCAACCAGCGTGTGCCCGGCCGTCAGGAGTGCCAGCAGGCCCTGTCCCGCTGGTTTTGCAGCCAGGAGCCTCGACGGAGCTCCTCGGAAGAACGGCGTCACGCCATGCCCCCCCGCTACCGCAGCGTGTCCCAGGACCGGTTGGGGGGCTCGGCGGTGGCCCCCCGGGGCTGGCCGCACAGCGCCTCGCACGACACCTTGCTGCAGCCCCCCCGTGAAGGTTGGGCCCCCCGTGCCCGCTCCGACCACTACCTGGGCAGGTACGGGCGCTCCATGGAGGCTCTGGAGCCCAGCGCCCTGCTCTCCCCTCGCCTCGACCGCTCCGGGTGGCCACCGGAGAGGGTCTGCCGGGCCACCGTCACCGCTGCCGGGCAACCCATCCCGCACAGCTCCTTCGTGCCATCCTCCTCCTCCTCCTCCTCTTCCTCGCGGGAGCCGGTGCAGAAGCACCCCTCGCAGCCCAACCTGCAGAGCGTGGACGATTCGGGCTACATCGGCTACCGGAGCTATAGCCCGTCCTTCCAGCGTCGCACGGGGCTACTGCACGCCCTCTCCTTCCGGGACCCCGCTTTTGGGGGCCTCCCCACCTTCAGCATCTCGCAGCGACCGGCCGCCCCGCTCCCGGAGAGGGTGGTCACCACCATCCCACCACCCACCGGTCCCCAACCGGTCCCCACGGCACCCAGGGACCAGCGGCCGGAGGGCAGCCGGGTGCCGGAGCAGCCGGAGGAGCGGAGGGAAGAGGTGGTTTTGAGGCAGAAGCCCCCCACGGGCCGCAAGATGCCACCCCCCATGCGGCAGATGAACTTTGTCTTCCCCGAGGGGGTGAAGGAGACGGACATTTGTGACCCCCCGTTGGCCAGTGGCAAAGGGGAGAGGCTGGGGGCCGAGCGGCAAGGCCGGCGCGTGGCTCCTTTGGCGGCCCCCGAGGACTCGCTGGCATCCATCCCCTTCATCGGTGAGTCCGGGGCGGGAGGGTGTCTGCAGCTGGAGCGGGGGGTCTGGCAGAAAGGGCACATTTTTTTGCGGGGACAGGGCATGTGGCACGGTCTCAGAGCACCCGAGAGGTCAGAGGAGGTCTCCAGAGGAGGCCCCGGAGATGCTGGGGGGCTGGAGCCCCTCTGCTGGGAGGGGGCGCTGAGAGAGTTGGGGGGTTCAGCCTGGAGAAGAGAAGGCTCCGGGGAGACCTCAGAGCCCCTTCCAGTCCCTCAAGGGGCTCCAGGAGAGATGGGGAGGGACTCTGGATGAGGGAGGGGAGCCCTAGGAGGAGGGGAAGGGTTTGACACCAAAAGAGGGGAGATGGAGATGAGATTTAGGAAGGAATTTTTCCCTCTGAGGGTGGTGAGAGCCTGGCCCAGGTTGCCCAGAGAAGCTGTGGCTGCCCCATCCCTGGAGGGGTTCAAGGCCAGGTTGGAGGGGGCTTGGAGCAACCTGGGCTGGTGGGAGGTGTCCCTGCCCAGGGCAGGGGGTGGCACTGGGGGAGCTTTAAGGTCCCTTCAAACCCAAAGCATCCTGTGATTCTATTCTGTGAGTCCATGTTTGGGATGACCCACTCCCCACCTGGTTCAGGACCTCCCTGTCTGACCACCTCTGCCTGGGGGGACCCAAATGGGCCTGGGGGTGCTGCCAGCTCCGTCCCCTCCCACACCACAGAGAGATCCTGGGGTCAGAGGGGGAGGGAGGGGATGAGGGGAGGTTGGGGGGGGCCATGACCTTACTCTGTGCGCGGGTCTGGGTGCACTGGTGGCTCCTGACTTTGCTGGGGTGGGAGTGGGTCCCCCAGCCCAGCCCAGTCCGGGCACCTACAAACCCACCACCCACCAGAAGCACTGGGAGGGGTCCCAGTAGGGATTTTTCCCAGTCCTGCCCCGACCCCTCCTTCAACGCTCTCCCCCCGCTCTCACAGATGAACCCACCAGCCCCAGCATCGACCTGAAAGCCAAGCACGTCCCCGCCTCCTCGGTGGTCTCCAGCGCCATGAACTCTGCTCCTGCCGTGGCCACCAGCCCCTCCTCGCCCACCTTCGCCTTCGCCCTGAGCCGGCACTACTCCCAGGACTGCAGTGAGTGCTGGGATGGGGGGTGCTACGGTTGGGGTCTGGGGGGGCAGGGTGTAGGATGAGGAGAAGCAGAGAACCCCCCCAACCCTGGAGCTCTGCCCTGTGCCCGCTGGGCTGAGCAGCCCGTGCTTTGCCCTTCTCCCCCTGGCAGGCAGCATCAAGGCTGGGCGCCGCTCCTCCTACCTCCTGGCCATCACCACCGAGCGCTCCAAGTCCTGCGACGACGGTCTGAACGCGTGGAGCTTCTTCACCGATGGGGTGAGTGTTGGGTGATGGGGAGGGTCCTCGGGGCGGGGGGAAGCCCAGGGTTTCTCTGGAGCTCTGGGTTCTCTTGGAGCTCTGGGGGAGCAGGGGGTGTTGATGGCATCCCCCCAAAGGTTGCCCTCTGGGGGGTAGCCCAGGGGTTCTCTGGAGCTCTGGGTTCTCTTGGAGCTCTGGGGGAGCAGGGGGTGTTGATGGCATCCCCCCAAAGGTTCCCCTCTGGCGGTTTTTCCCCCCCACCCCGCAGTCTCTGGACAGCCTCGGCACCTCCGAAGACGCCCGCTCCAAAAGACACTCAACCTCCGACCTCTCGGACGTCCCGTTCAGCGCCGTGAGGAAGGAGGGCTGGCTCCACTGCAAGCAGATCCTCACCAAAAAGGGGAAGGTAGGCGGGTGTCCTCGTGTGTGTGTGTGTGTGTGTGTGTCCCACTCCTCCTTCCATACCCCCCAGCCCAGCCGGCCATGCTGGGACGACTCCCCCCACCCTGAGCATCCCTGAGGTCCATGCCCCATTCCTCCTTCTTCTCCTCCTGCAGAAGGTCGGTGGAGGCATCCGGCAGTGGAAGCGCGTCTTCGCCGTGCTGCGCACCCACTCGCTGTACCTCTGCAAGGACAGGCGGGAGGCGGTGACCTGCGCCCCGGCCCCAGGTGAGGAGGAGCCGCCGATCAGCATCCGAGCGTGCCTGGTGGACATCTCCTACAGCGAGACCAAGAGGAAGCACGTCTTCCGCCTGACGACCGCTGACTTCTGTGAATATCTCTTTCAGGCAGAGGATCGGGAAGACATGCTGGCCTGGATCAAAGTCATCAGGGAGAACAGCAAGGCCGAGGGCGAGGTGAGAGCCACATGGGGCTCCCGGCTGCCTCTGGCTCTCCCGGCACTAACCGCCTCGGCTCTCTCCGGCTCTTTGCCTTTTGCTGCTTCCCCCAGGCCACAGGGGCCAGTCCCCCAAGGTGTGGGACTCGCCGGTCCCATCCCGTGCCGTGGTCCCGGGGGTGCACGGAGGTGGGGGGCCGTCGTGGCGTCCAAGAAGAGCGTGGCAGGGTGCGCCGGGTGCTCGGTGGCTCTCCTGGAGCCGTAGGGTCGGCGCCGGATCGGGTCGTGCGGCGGGAGAGGAGCGTCGCGTGGCTGCGCCGTGGTGTGTTGTGTCTCCGTTGGGTGGAGAGAGATGTGGCAGGGACCTCCCTGGCACGGTGGCCGCGCGCGGTGATGCCAGGGCTGGTGCCGGCTCCAGGCTGAGCCCTGCTCTGTGTGATGGGGTCTGAGATGGGGAGAGCGGGTCCTGTGGAGGATCCGTGGGGCTGGATGTGCCAGCGCTGGGCTGGCTGCGTGGTGTCCCCCCGTGGTGGCAGCGTTTGGTGGCAGTGGCACTGCCAGGCTTGTGGCAGGCTCCGGACCCTGGAGGGTGCGTTGAGTTTGGAGCGGTCTCCGGTTCTCTGTGGCACAGCCCCCCCTCTCTGAGGGGCGCAGGGGGGGCTCGGCGGGGCTGGTGGCACCAGGACAGGGAAGGTGCTGCCGGGTTGGAGCGCGTGGAGCCATCTGGGCACCGTCCGGGGACGCGGGGCCACCGGGCAAGCGGCGTCCCGCAGGGATGGGTGCGCGTTTTCGGGCGCTGCGCGGTGCGGCGGGTGCGCGGGCAGATGGAGATGTGTGTCCTGCCGAGGGATGTCCCCGTCCCCGAGCCTCTGTGGCCTCCTCGGACCCCGTGTGCTGCCCCGTGCTGTGGCGAGGAGCCACGGAGGCGGCAGCGGGACGGCGGGCACCGGCTGTGTTGGGGCAGCGGGGACTGGGTCCTGCCATCGTGTGTCCTGCCGAGGGATGTCCCCGTCCCCGAGCCTCTGTGGCCTCCTCGGACCCCGTGTGCTGCCCCGTGCTGTGGCGAGGAGCCACGGAGGCGGCAGCGGGACGGCGGGCACCGGCTGTGTTGGGGCAGCGGGGACTGGGTCCTGCCATCGCCCGCTCCTGCCTGGTCCCACGCGGTGCCCGGCAGAGCCTGGACTTGTCCGGGGTCTCTGGAGGACGCGCTGCTCAAGCTCTCCCTTCCCCTCTTCTCTCTGCCCCCCCAGGACCCCGGTTTTGCCAGCCAAGCGCTTATCAACAAGAAGTTAAACGACTACAGGAAAGTGAGGTACGGACCTGGGGGGCGGTGGGACCTGGGGGGCAGTGGGTGCTGCAGCCCACCCCAGGGGCATCATTCAGTTCAGTTTTAAAGTGGCAAAGCAGAGTCCCTCATCAGGGCAGTGCCAGGGAGGAGGGGGACAGTTCAGCCAAACTGGCACCAAGCGAATCATAGAATCATAGAATCATCTAGGTTGGAAGAGACCCTTGGGATCATCGAGTCCAACCATCTCCCCTACTCTACAAAGTCCTCCCCTACACCATGTCCCTCAGCACTGCATCTAAACGGCCCTTAAACACAGCCAGGGATGGGGACTCCACCCCCTCCCTGGGCAGCCTGTTCCAATGCCCGACCACTCTTTCAGTGAAAAATTCCTTCCTAATGTTCAATCTAAACCTCCCCTGTTGGAGCTTGAAGCCGTTCCCTCTCGTTCTGTCACTAATTACCTGTGAGAAGAGACCAGCACCAACCTCTCTACAGTGTCCTTCCACGAAGTTGTAGAGAGTGATGAGGTCTAAAAAGGGTTAAAGGGGCTCAGTGCTCCCCGGGGGTCCCCGTTACCCGGTGTGGGGGGCATGGGTGGGAGCTGGGGAGAGATGCTGGCATTTCTCAGGAGGTTTTGCCCCAGGCTGGTGGCCCCCCCTCCTTGGCCATGCCCTGCCTGAGCCCCCCCTCCTCGCTCTCCCCGCAGCCCCGCGGGCACCAAGCCCGATTCCTCGCCCAAGGGCTCTCGAGGGCTGGGGATCCGAGCCGAGTTCCTGAAGCAGACGGGAACCAGCGCGCCCCGGTCCCCCAGGCAGGACACGGCTGTCACCAAAGGTAGGTCCCAGCCCTTGACGTGGGTCAACAGCAAACTGGGGGGGCTGTGCAAGGAGCAAAGAGGGGGTGCCTCGCCCCAGGAATGCCATCCTGCTTGTCCCCGTAGGGCAGCAGGGATGCTCTTCCCGTTTATCCCGGTAAATGATCCTGTGGGTTTTTCTCCCCAGATGAAAGCAGCTCCCAAAAAGCCCCGTGGGGCATCAACAGCAACAGCAAACTGGGGGGGCTTTGCAAGGAGCAAAGGGGGGGGTGCCTCGCCCCGGGAATGCCATCCTGCTTGTCCCCGTAGGGCAGCAGGGATGCTCTTCCCGTTTATCCCGGTAAACAATCCTGTGGGTTTTTCTCCCCAGATGAAAGCAGCTCCCAAAAAGCCCCGTGGGGCATCAACATCATGAAGAAGAATAAGAAATCAGCCCCCCGCGCCTTTGGCGTGAGGCTGGAGGACTGCCAGCCCGCCCCGGACAACAAGGTATGGCCACGCCAGCAGTGCCAGCCCTCGGGGGACCCCACGCAGCCCCAACACCTCCCTCACCCCCTCCCTGTCCCCGCAGAATGTCCCCCTGATCGTGGAAGCTTGCTGCAAGGTGGTGGAGGACCGAGGGCTGGAGTACATGGGCATCTACCGCGTGCCCGGGAACAATGCGGTGGTGTCCAGCCTGCAGGAACAGCTCAACAAGGGAGCCACCGAGATCAACCTGCAGGACGAGGTGAGGGCTGCATGTCCCTGTCTCCATCCCCATCCCTGTCTCTATCCCCATCCCTGTCTCTATTCCTCCTGGATGCTTCTGGGGCTCTTCTGTTGGTCCGTGGCTCTGTCACCATCCCCATCTCTATCATCATCCCCATCTCCATCATCATCCCCATCTCCATCATCATCCCCATCTCCATCATCATCACCATCCCCGTCTCCATCATCATCCCCATCTCCATCATCATCCCCATCCCCATCCCCATCTCCATCCCCATCCCCATTCCCATCCCCCCCGTCTCCATCATCCTCATCTCCATGGCCATGACCTTCCCTGGAGTGGCAGGGCCGCCTGGTGGTCGGTGACAGCAGTGTCACCGGCAGCTTGGGGACACAGATGTCCCTTTGCCTCTCCCCACGTCGCTGAGGTGGCACAGAGCCTTCCCTGCCAGATACAGGGTGGGGATACTTCCATCCTCACGGCCACGGTGGTCCTGGGTGGTGTCCCCCTGGGTGTCAGTGGCCTGGGGTTCTCCCAGTCCCACTTTGGGGACTTTCCCACCCGCTGTGGTCCCTAAGCAGCCTCTTCTCTCCCTGGCAGCGGTGGCAGGACCTGAATGTCATTAGCAGCCTGTTGAAGTCCTTCTTCCGAAAGCTGCCCGAGCCCCTCTTCACCGACGGTGAGTCGCTGCCTCCTCCGTGGCCAACAGGGCCCCCAAAGTGGCCACAGATGACCCTATTCAAATGGCCACGTGTCGATGGCTGATACCCCAAAGCCCATCCCACCCATCCCTGTGTTGGGGACAGGTCCCCAGGTCCCCTCCTCGCCGAGTCCCCTGGGCCAGCCCTTGTCCTTGTCCCTCCTTGCCCTTCTCTGCTTCATCCCAGTGGGACCCTACCAGCTTCCCACCATCTGTGGATGGTGCATCCGGGGGTCCCTGGCCCCAGGGGGTGCCCTCTCCCCTCCACCCGGCTCTGATACCCCCATGTCCTGCTTTCAGACAAGTACAATGACTTCATTGAGGCCAACCGCATCGAGGACGCCAGCGAGAGGATGAGGACGCTACGGAAGCTGGTAGGGAGATGGGGCAAGGGCTGGGGTGGGGGGCACAGCCCTGGAGCACCCCCATCTTGGGTGCTGGTGTGGGTGGGAAAGGCAGGGGGGGGTGAGCAGAGAGGTGACTGGTGCCTCCGGAATGCTCTTGAGGCTCTTCTGTTGGTCCATGGCTCTGTCACCATCCCCACCACCATCCCCGTCTCCATCATCATCCCCATCTCCATCATCATCTCCATCTCCATCTCCATCCCCATCCCCATCTCCATCCCCATCTCCATCCCCACATCCCCATCTCCATCTCCATCCCCATCACCATCCCCATCTCCATCACCATCCCCGTCTCCATCATCCTCATCTCCATGGCCATGACCTTCCCTGGAGTGGCAGGGCCGCCTGGTGGTCGGTGACAGCAGTGTCACCGGCAGCTTGGGGACACAGATGTCCCTTTGCCTCTCCCCACGTCGCTGAGGTGGCACAGAGCCTTCCCTGCCAGATACAGGGTGGGGATACTTCCATCCTCACGGCCACGGTGGTCCTGGGTGGTGTCCCCCTGGGTGTCAGTGGCCTGGGGTTCTCCCAGTCCCACTTTGGGGACTTTCCCACCCGCTGTGGTCCCTAAGCAGCCTCTTCTCTCCCTGGCAGCGGTGGCAGGACCTGAATGTCATTAGCAGCCTGTTGAAGTCCTTCTTCCGAAAGCTGCCCGAGCCCCTCTTCACCGACGGTGAGTCGCTGCCTCCTCCGTGGCCAACAGGGCCCCCAAAGTGGCCACAGATGACCCTATTCAAATGGCCACGTGTCGATGGCTGATACCCCAAAGCCCATCCCACCCATCCCTGTTGGGGACAGGTCCCCAGGTCCCCTCCTCGCCGAGTCCCCTGGGCCAGCCCTTGTCCTTGTCCCTCCTTGCCCTTCTCTGCTTCATCCCAGTGGGACCCTACCAGCTTCCCACCATCTGTGGATGGTGCATCCGGGGGTCCCTGGCCCCAGGGGGTGCCCTCTCCCCTCCACCCAGCTCTGACCCCCCCATGTCCTGCTTTCAGACAAGTACAATGACTTCATTGAGGCCAACCGCATCGAGGACGCCAGCGAGAGGATGAGGACGCTACGGAAGCTGGTAGGGAGATGGGGCAAGGGCTGGGGTGGGGGGCACAGCCCTGGAGCACCCCCATCTTGGGTGCTGGTGTGGGTGGGAAAGGCAGGGGGGGGTGAGCAGAGAGGTGACTGGTGTCTCCACACAGATCCGGGACCTGCCAGGTCACTACTACGAGACACTCAAGTTCCTGGTGGGTCACCTGAAGACCATCGCTGACCACTCGGAGAAGAACAAGGTATGTCCACCCACCCTGGGGCCAGGCAGGTCTCCTGGACCCCCTGCCCCACCTCAAACCCCCCAAACTTGGGCTGATGGTCGCTGATGGGGCGGGGAATGCCGAGGATTGACCACGGGCACTAACCCCATCTCTGGTGGTAGATGGAGCCCCGAAACCTGGCGCTGGTGTTTGGCCCCACGCTGGTGCGGACGTCCGAGGACAACATGACGGACATGGTGACGCACATGCCCGACCGCTACAAGATCGTGGAGACCCTCATCCAGCATGTAAGTGGCATTGGTGGGCAGGGGGGCATCAGAGGAAGGGGCTTCTCCCCACCCTGGAGGGGATGGTGCCCCCCAAGCCGTGTTGAGCTCCCACCTCTCCTCACCGGTCCTTGACCCCTCTCCCGTCTCCCCCCGCAGTCGGACTGGTTCTTCAGCGACAAGGAGGACAAGGGCGAGAAGGTGAGTCCCCTGTTCCTCTGTCCCATGGAGGGGGGTCTCGCTGTGGGGCAGGGAGGGTGCAGACCCCCGGGTGGGGAGCTGGGGTGCCACAGGCAGCCACCCGACCACCGTGTCCCCTCCCCTTGCAGACCCCCGTGGATGAGAAGGAAGCTCAGTCCGTGCCCAACATCGAGTACCTGCTCCCCAACATCGGCAGGACCGCGGCGCCCGGCGATGCCGCAGGTGAGGAGCAGGGCCCATGGCAGCCCCCCCACACCCCAGCTCCCATCCTGGCACCAGGGCACCCCTGGGTGCCCCTCCAGCCACTCCATCCCCCCTGGTCACCCCACTACCGACAGCCGGCCCCCCCCGTGGCCGTGGCAGACCCCTGTGTGCCGGAGCAGGACGTCCCGGCACCCTCCTCACCATCAAATGGGGACACACCCCCCAGCTCCCATCCTGGCACCAGGGCACCCCTGGGTGCCCCTCCAGCCACTCCATCCCCCCTGGTCACCCCACTACCGACAGCCGGCCCCCCCCGTGGCCGTGGGTGCTGGAGCAGGACGTCCCGGCACCCTCCTCACCCTCTCCCCACCCTCTCCTGTCACCCTCCTCTCTGGTGGCCACTCCTCATCCCTCTGCCATCCCGGGACCCCTGCCCGTGCCCACTCCCCCCGCGCCAACCCCACGCTGCCAATCCAGAGAGCGGGAGACTTTGTCGTTGGACTGATTTCTTACGTTCTTTCCTTGAACTTCTCTGTGCTGTCCTCTTCCTCCTCATCCTCCTCCTCCTCCTCCTCCTCTTCCTCCTCCAGCGGACCTCCTCGAGAGCTAGAGCGGGTACAGTGTTGCTCCTGGGTGCATTGCTCACGCACTAACCCCTCCGGGCGACCACGAGAGAGCGGGAGCAGGGTTGGGGGGGACAGCAGGAGGGGAGGGGTCCCTGTCCTGTCTGGCCACTGTCCCCAGGGACCCCAACAGCAAGGGAGGGGGGGGCTGCCGAGGCCCTGGGGACCCCCAGATCCTTTAATCCTATTTTTCCCCCATGGTTGGCCGGTGCTGGTGGCGGTTGTTGGCATCTGGTGCTGGGTGTCCTGGGACCAGCACTCCCACGCGCTGGGTTTGATCACAAAATGATAAATCGATCAAAAAATGACAAATTGATCATAAAACCCACAAAATTACAGAACTCTTGGGTTGGGAGGAACCTTATGGGGGTCCTGATGCCGGTCCTGGGACCAGCGCACCCACACGCTGGGTTTGATCACAAAATGATAAATCGATCAAAAAATGATAAATTGATCATAAAACCCGCAAAATGACAGGACACTTAGGGTTGGGAGGGACCTTATGGGGGTCCTGATGCCCCCGGGGAGGGTCAGCACCCCCTTTTCTGCCTCCCCCTCTCTCGTCGTCAGCAGCTTCTAACCCCATCCCGGGGCGTGCGGGGTTGGGGGGGGGGGGGGGGGGGGGTCTTTTTGTCCGGGGGCAGCCGGGATTGCTTTCGTTTCCCCCACCCTCCATTTTCTACGACCCCCCCCCCGAAGTTTTGGGGCTCCCCAAACGCCTCCCTCCCCTCTCCCCCTCGGAAAATCGCGTTCCTCACCTTCCACTGAAAATAACCGGGCCCGATCCGCCTGACACCCACCCTTGAAGTATTTATAGGCATTGATCAGATCCCCCCTCAGCCTTCTCTCCTCCAGACTAAAGAGCCCCAAGTCCCTCAGCCTTTCCTCATCAGAGAGATGCTCCAGGTCCCTCAGCATCTTTGTAGCCTCTGCTGTGCCCTCTCCAGCAGTTCCCTGTCCTTCTGGAACTGGGGAGCCCAGAACTGGTCCCAGTGCTCCAGATGGGGCCTCCCCAGGGCAGAGCAGAGGGGCAGGATGACCTCTCTGGACCTGCTGACCACGCTTTTCTTGATGCCCCCCCAAGGATGGCGGGCTGGGGGGCTGGCAGGGAGGGAGGGACAGGGTGGCTGGGGCACGGAGCCTGTCCCCAACCCCGGTGTCACCGTTTTCCTCAGGGCACGTGGCCGTCGCGGAAGGCGCCGCCGTCGCACCGGGAGCTCCTCGCCATCCCCTTCGTCTCGGCCGCCGCCCGCAAGAGGAAGAAGAAGAGAGAGGCCGAAGGCGTCGGGAGCAGCAGCACCGACGACGACGCGGAGCGCAGGGACCGGGAGCAGGAGGACGTGGGGACCGTGGCCACCCTGCCATCACCCGGCAAAGCCCTCCGTGGCACCGGCGGCGAGCTGGCGGCCCCCGGCCCGGCCGGGATGGAGCGGGAGAGCTCCCTGGAGCCTGGGGGTGCTGGGCCCGAGCCGGCGCCGGACGCTCGCTCCATCGTGTCGGGCTACTCCACCCTGTCCACTATGGACCGCAGCCTCTGCTCCGAGGTGCAGTCGGTGGCCGGGAGCCGCGGGGAGGAGGCGGATGACGAACGGAGCGAGCTCAGCCACATGGAGACGGACACAGAGAGCAGGGAGGGAGCCAGGCCCCGACCGGGCCAAACGGACGGAGGGACCGGGGATGAGGACAAGGGACTCTCCAGCCGTCCTTCCTTCAACTCCCACCGCCTCATCCAGTGCGACACGCTGGCCCGCAGGAAGCTGGGGCGGCCCCGGGCTACCAGTGAGACCCCGGTGGCCAGCGATGGTGGAGGTGGGGAGGACCAGCAGGGCTGGGTGCCCCCCGGGAGACCCTCACTGCGAGAGCAGCTCCGGCAGCGCCTGCGGGGCTCCACCGACGACATGGGGGTGCGTCTGCGCCGAGCCCACTCCCCCGAAACCCGCCGCAAGAAGAGCAGTTGGCGTCGGCACACGGTGGTGGTGCCCGGTGGCCTCAAGGACCTCAACTTCAACGAGTGGAAGGAGCCCCGGGGGCTAGAGGTGGCCCCGGGACCCTGCCGGGGTGACAAAGACTCGGGGCTCAGCAGCCTAGAGTCCACCAAAGCCCGGCCACCGGTGGCCACCGCCCCGGCACAACCCGGCACTGCCGGC